TTTCATTCGTATCTTCCAGTTAGTTTGCAGAAGAATAGTATAGACTCTTTTGAAATCGGAATAACAGCGTCATGTAACATTAAATTTTGTTTACTTTGGGATTAAATGCAGTAGTGGTTTATCACTCATACGCAGTTTTAATTACCTCTTTTTAAAAAATTAATAACAATAGCTATAATACGTAACATATTACATAATGCACACACACACACACACACACCCATATATATATATATATATATATATATATATATATATATATATATATATATATATATATATATGGCTGGCCAATCATATTCGAGGATACCCGTATACTAGGGTGGCTAGCCAATCGTTATTGAAGACGCTCACTCAGGTACATTTGTGTTTGCTCAACACCCACCTGTGGTTTATACTGCAACTATACTGAACAAAACTTAGTTAAAGTTTCTGGGAAAGAGAGTCTTATCTAGCGTATCACCATATTGACCAAGGCCAGAATGACGTGTGTCTTCGTTCTAGCACAACTATCGACGGACCCAAGCATCCCATCTACACAATTTCACTCACAAAGCTTGGGTCAACCCGCACGATAACATCAGGATGTCTCTTTCCTGACAAATCTACCTTGCGACATTCGAACCCGGGTCTTATGGTCAGGAGGCGAACTTTCTGGCTGCCGTTTGATCCAGGTAAATTATACCGTACAAAAAAATTTGTCGCACAAAATCACGAAGACAATTGCAGTAATGAAAAATTGGGAATCCAATATTTCTGGATTACCTGTTCGGATGCGTCTCGGAATGTTTTAATTTGCTTACAGAGTCGGTCCGATTCCAAAGTGGTATGGTATGTCGGCCTATGGACTTAAGGAATAAAGTTGAAAAAGTGTGACACACTAACTTTCGCATTTATTTATTTAGAAGATGAGACATTTAAATTTAGAGAGCTCTGGCCCTTTAATTAAAAAAGTGTAACAGTGACACAGACATACGCATTTATTAAATAGATAAAGAAGATGAGATATCTAAAAGTGAGACCTGTCTACATTTAATCGAATATGTGCAACATACCGACATTCGCATTTATTATATAAAAGAGGAAGATAAAGCTCTTGAAAGTTAGAGAGTTTTTCCAATTAATTGAAAAAGTCTGACACACATACATTTTCGCATTTATTATATAGAAAAAGAAGATGATATATTTAAAAGTTACATAGTTATGTCCCTTTAATTGAAAAAGTGTGACACACAAACATTTTCGCATTTATTATATAGATAAAGGAGATGTTGACATAAAGTCAACACCAGCGGCGACAATTCCGTGTAATCATGAAACAGACTTTCACCGTTGGGTGTTGACGTCAATGCTTCCTTTAATATATATATATATATATATATATATATATATATATATATATATATGTATTTATTTCGTCATTTGGGACTTCACTGAGCAAAATGAATGTTTCTGTTGATATAATTATATATGCGGAGAGGGAATATAACAGTTCAGATGTTGTTTCTAATTATGTATATGTAGGAAACACTGAAAGTTTTGAAACAGTGAAATTTGTAACATTTTAATTATATAGCTAATAGTTGTATAGCTATATTCTCCATCCAATTTCATTTACTTTTTATGTTACTGTTTTTCTCTTTTTTTTGTGATAAAGTATCTTTAACACTTTTCTCTAGAGATTCTGGAAATTTTGCAACGCTACTTATTTACATGCAAAATGTAGCATACAAAATGCATTATGTTGCCCCATGCTTAAAAAGCTAATAAAATCTATTAGTTCAATTTTCTTGCGCTGAAATAGCCTGACATCATCTTTGACGTCAATCCAGTAGAAAAGCTATGCAAGTATATGAAGAATATCGCAAAACTAATGCTCTGTTTATAATCAAGAATCTCTGTGGCGCTGGGATTCTAGTTTAAGTTCATTGTTAGTATTCCACGTAAAACTGTAAGTGTCTGTCTATATTTCTGAGATGAGGTATTATGTACATTATTTACATTATTCGTCCTATTGTCCTCATCTTTGTCGCCATTTTTATCACGTGGTTGGAATGTCGAACTGAATCCTTTATTTCGCTCACTCGTAGACTGTTTCCACGTGACATCAGTTATCTCCTCTGAAAGTTGTCACTGGATCTAACCAACGCATTTATCCACTGTGCCATGTGTCCTTGAGGACATCTGTGTATGAATTTCTGGGCATTATAAACCTAATGTCTTCAGCAACCATTTTTACCAGTGCTCATATTGCAATTTTGTTGTTATCATTACATGTTTTTACCAGAGCTCATATTGCAACAATAGTCCGAATAATGTAAATAAAACTGTAAGTATTTACAAAGGCGAATTAGGGTTTTAAAAATTATTATTTTATATTCAAATTAATAGAAAATAAACTTAATCTAGTAAATATTACGCTTTTTTTTGATTGCTCGCCTTTTTGTGCTATAGATGTTTTTGTTAAAAACAGTATCGGAGGCAAGGAAAACTTTGAGAT